CCTTCTGCTCATAATCAAATCCGCATCTTCACTTCCCTGTGCGCATTCGTCAATTTCTCTCTACAGTATCAGACCCACTCGGTTCAGATCATTTGTATCTGTCCCCTTTCTATTTCCTAGGCCCCCAACATAGCAATCTTTCTTTTTTCCTTTCATTTGCTAATTCATGCTGTTTACCATTTTCTCCTCTTACAAGTCCGAGTCTCTCATATGCTGTGGTTGTCGCTGGCATGTTGACCTGTGCCACCCACCCACTCACTCAAGGCTGAGAAAAATAAACACTGTAGTTTAACCCTAACCTGGTCTGGGGTCCTGCTGTAGCCCAGCCAGCTTGGTTGGATAGGTGCTAGGGAGCCATGCAGGTTCCTACTGAGATTCCTCTAGGAGCTCTGCTAAAAATAAATAAAACACACTTCTCAGTATTAAAACCATTTTAAAATAAAGCAGATAAAACACAGCGAGGCCATGCCAAAAAGAAGTAAGAGAACACCGCCAGCGGACCCGGGCAATGCTGTTCTGGCCACTGCTGCGTCGCCAGCATCCAGCACCGCACACCCTTAGACTAGGACAAGCTGCCTTCTTCCTTCCTGCAGGCTGAGTGGCAGCAATTATTTTGGAATGGGAAAATCAAACTTAACTGAGTCATCAAGCTTTAAGAAATACTAGGCATTTACAGATAAATGAGTTTCCTTCTTTTTAATTATAGTTTTCTCCACCAATCAAGTTGTTTAAATTAAAACCAATACAACTAATAATATAAATAGCAAAATGCATTAATACAGGGTACAGAGCATTCTCTCTTCCTAGTTTTCCCCAAGAACAACCCTGCGTGAGGTAGGCTGGGCGGGCACGAAGTCCTGCAGGAAGCTCCTGTGGCGGGGGGCCCTTGAGTCTGGGCCCCAGCCCAACGCCTTCAGCCCCACAGCTTGCCAGGACCATGACTCCGAGGCCAGTGGCAGGGCAAGAGCAGGATGCTGGCCAGGCTGCCCGATGAGGGGAGGGCTCTTGGCGTGTGCATGGCCCTCAGAAAGCCCCTTTGTCCCAAGAAAGCAACAAGATGCAGGACCTTAAATATTTCCCTCCCTGAAAGATTCAGAGCAAACGTGAAATGCCAGGATACCAGCTCTTTATAGCAACTGCAAGGAAAGAATCCAGACAAATGATTCTGTGTCACTTTAACATCTATCTAGGAGATTTACTACGGCACACACTTTCATGGAATCTACTTCAGGGCGCCATACGTTTGCTAAGTTTTCCAGGTGCCACAACACTTTTGGTGTTGCTGTTACCACAACAGATTTACACAACTATTTTTGGAAATTATTCCTGAGGAATAAAGTCACACAGGGTAAACAGGACTAACATAACAGCTGCTTGGTATTTTTCAACTTCCAAGAGAATTTCTGGGAGGGAGGGTGATTTTGGGCCCTCCAGACAGAATTCACGAGGGTCATTTGGGTCATCTGGTCCAGCTACTTGCTCATGTCTAATTTATCAAATTATACTCTTAAACTACCCAGTAAATGCAGTACCTTGTGCAGGCTACAGAACAGTTGAAAATATATTGTAAGAACTGGATAATCAAGATAAAATCAACAGCAGGAACTGAAACTCTGAATCCAGTATCTACCCAGTCAGAGCGACGCAACTTGAGTTACAATAATGGGAGGCTTTAAAAGCACCACAGTGACTCTTCAGATGCCTGGGGGAGGCAGAAAGTTTTTGCCTGGTGCTAGAAAGGTTTTGAAAGAGGTGCCGGGCTGCCCTCTCTGCGGAAACCTTCCCAGAAATGGGGCACTGCCGAAGAACCCCCCGGCCTTTTCTCATTGGAGGGGCACGTGGAGAAGGACATCAGTGGAGGATCCAGGTAGAGAAGCAGGGGAGTGGGACTGCCCACCCCACCCCAAACTTATGGCTTTGTAAGCTAATGGCAGCATTTTGAGTGGGACCCAAAAGAGGTTGCCGGCAAAGATGGGAAAGCACTGGCTGAAAACGACTGCCTCTACCAGACCTGGCTGCCCAGGTGCTGCCCTGTTCTGAACCAACTGACCAGCCCAAATCCATTCCCTTGTATGGGAGGTGAAAGGGAGCACAGAGGAACCCTGCTGGTAGCTGCTCTGGGGTCCTCCAAATTCACCTTCTGGAACTGCCCGTTCAAATAAGAGTGGGGCCCAGAAATAGAGCAGGCTCCCCTCCAAACTCAGACAGCTGATCCAGAAGAAGGCCGTGGTTGGACCATGAAGGTTGAGAGAGCGATCATGGCAATGGAGCCGGAGGCCCAGTTCCAACCAAGAGTGCCTGAAGATTATCAGCAGCCCCTCGACCACTCCTGGGTTCCCCCTCAGTTACCCTCCCATCCTCCTGACCACTGGTCATGGGGGCTGGGGCAGGCAGGAGTGCGAGGACCCCTGAATTCTTGCCCTGGATTGAGGGCGCCAAGAATGGGAAACATATTCAGCTGTTGGGGAGCAGAGCAGTTTGGGAGGCAGAGTGGCCTAAGGCAGATGCTGCCTCCCAAGGGGATCACAAGAAGTTCTTCGCTTAGGGGGCGAGCCCTTCACAGCCAACATCAGGGACACACTGATAAGCGTGTGTCCGACTGGTCGCTTCCTGGCCAGAGAAGGACCATTGGCTCATGGCCTGGCCCTCCCTCTGGGTCTGCATAGCTTGCTAATCCACGCACCATGACTGACAAACCACAGTTACAGGCGAGGCTGTAACCCAATAAACTACTTGATGGATAAGTGGGACATGTGAGTGCAGCCACAGCTTGTGTGTTTGTTAATCCTTTATTTTAGCAAAACCCATTATACGTAAACTAAACGTGGCGAAGTGCCCCTAAGGTAGGAAGGAGAGTCAGTGTGGTGATGGCACAATCGCTTTCCCCTCCAGGCAGAATCCAGGTTCAAGCAAACAAATGGGCTTCATTGAACTTCTCCCAAGCCCCCAAACTGCTGCTCTGGGAAAGCAACACTGTTGTCCTGAAACCATTTCTGTCATATTTTAAATGTGACATCTCTCTGAATCTTAGGTGAGGGCAGATGAGCCTATTTGGTGATATTGTCATTTAGCCAGGACAGTTTGAACACATCTGTGTTTCAGTCGTGCTTCTAGCGTAAACAATCATAACCACTGTATTCATTTATACACTCAAACAACAGATGTGGCGCTTTATAGAATTAAAAGAAAAGAGCGAGCAGTTCCAATGAAGAAGAGATGAAGGGGGCAATGGAGGAGGATGATAACCAGATGGGTTTTTGTACCTCTTTAGGCTGGGCAGGGGACGGGGGGAGGTAGGAATGAGGAGCAAGAGAGCACAGACAAAGGCTCCGAGGAAGTAGTTGAGCTGGGAAGAAAGGAAAAGATGTTCCTTGCAGGGGCAATGGCCCCCTGCATCCTACAGATGGAGCCCAGCTGCTGGGGGCTAAATGGGAAGCCCCTGGCCACAAGGCCAAAGGGATGGGGGGGCTGGAACTAAGGGAAGAGGAAACCCCTGGTCCCAAAGGGTCTGACCTTCAGGGGCAACAAAGGAGGCCCAGAAAAAAGAAAGATGCTGGATTAAAAGGAAGGAAGAGAAGCCAGTTATGTCCAGCTGGGGCATCCCCCTGGTTTGCCAGGGGCAGGGGCAGAGCCCCCCAGAGGTATCGGTCAAAGTCTGGAAGGGGCAAAGAAGAGAGGGGAGGAGGAAGCACTGCCAAACCCAAGGAAGGAACATGAGGACAACCTGGATGAAGTTCTGAAGACTTTCCCCAGTTGAAGTATCAGAGAGGCAGGAAAGGAGCAAGTATGGAGGGTGGGAGGGAAGGGTTGAGGATGGGAAGGGCTGGATCCCAGCTGTCAAAGGACGGCCTTTCTCCTCTTGAGCAACCCTGATGCTTTGCCGTTAGGCAGGCAGCCCACGCAAGGCCTTTCAGATCCTTCCACCCACAGCATCCTTCCGAGGTGAGGAGCAGCAGCTTCTCTGAATGGAAGGCGCCATGGCAGAGACATCACTGCCCACGGGCAATGCTAATCCCATGCTAAGCAGGGTGGGGAGGGCTTTGTGGTACTTCAGGGGTGGGGAGCCCAAGGAGGTTCTCTGGGGTTGGCAAACAAGCCCCAGCTGGATCACAGGAGGGTGCTGCAGTTCAGCAACCGCTGAAGGACTCGCTCACTCAGGCGTTGCGATGCCGGGAGGATGGCGCGCCAGGGCTGGGCAATGCCTCTGCCGCGTAGCAACTTCCACTCTGAAAAGCGATGCCCTCCTCATCCAGGGGAGGCCCCGGGGCAGCCAGGAGGACCACTGGGCAGCCTGCCTGAAGGAGGGAGGGGAGGCCATGATGCTGGAGCCAGGTGACCACCAGCCTCGGAGGGAGGGGGCGGCTGGGAGCCAGCCAAGGGCAGCATCCGTGGTTCTGGGCTTTAGGCAGCCCAGGTGCCTTCTGGCTGAATCCATCAAGTGCAGACTGATTACGTCCCAACTTTCCCTCTAGACCCAGAGAGCTTCAGGGTGGACCCTGCTCCATGAGGGCTTCCCTCCCTCCCACTCAGCCTCGCCCCCGTTTTCGTTGCTGAGAGAGCAGAGGGATAATCCCGACGTTGTGCCACCCCTGACTCTGTCTCCCTCTCCTTTTCCTTCAGTCCCCTCCTTGCAGACGCTCTGCCGCATGGCCATCCAGAAGCACATCATCCATCGGCTGGCGATCGATGGGCTCAATCTCCCGCCGGTGCTGAAGAACTTTTGCAAATATGAATGAAGCACCAAGGCTTCTGCATACGCATGACACTCACACTTCACCTGCCCAACTGGTGTTTCTGGGTGGGTATGATTCAGCAAACGCGTAGGAAGAAGCCGACTCTCCTGACACCCTGCTCTGCCAGCAGCAACTCCTGCTGCAAGCAACAGGAAGCATCAGTTGGAGGCGCTCCCAAATGAACACGGATAACCTTTCGTGCCACAAAGGCAACCCGGAGGGTGCTGTGGTGGAAGTGCCCCACTGTGGAGAAGGCGAGAGTTGCCTACATACAAATCTGGATCAACTCCAGGATCAAGTGGCGTTATGGCAGTTCAATAAAAACAGCCTTAAGGAAAGGATCATGTTCTGGGCGCAAGGATGTTTCTGTAGCTTCTCCAGCCTTCGGCACGGTAGTTTCTGTAAGTCACCAGGGGGAACCATACAGGGGGAGTGGGCTCACCCCTCTCAGAGCTGAAAGAAGTTTGGTGGCCTGAGGGTCCCAGCTCACTTCAAGCCGCCTGACCTCTTGAGCACAGGGCAAGTTCTAGCACTGAATAGAGACCCCGCAGGTGGCCACACAGTGGGTCTGTATGACGTAAGGTCCAAGCCCTGTGATGCTGGTTCTAGAATGGGGGGGCTCGGGGTAGGCACAGCACGGCACTGACACAGTAGCACTGACCAGGTTGCAGCACGGACGATGGCCTATTGCGGCCTGGGAAAAGCTTCCTCGGCCTCCTTCCCACCCCCCCACCAAGGTAACCCCTCCCCTCTCCAAAATAGTTTGAACAAGCTCGACTTGGCAGCAGCGCGAGAAGGACCTAGAAATGCTAGCAGACCCCCAGCTGAGCAGTGTCGTGCTGCAGATAGATGGGCTCTGGCAACTTTGAGCTGGGTTACAGAACGCCCCACCCAAATCACCCAGATGGTACTTCCGTTGTATTCCAGGCGTTTAGAGCGCGTGGAGCCCAGTGTGCAGTGCTGGGCTGTGTGCTTTAAAGGGGGCACAGTCAGGTTTTTTGCCATCTGCCCAAAACCAAGAGGAACTTCTTTTCCAAGCCCAACTCTAGAGAGTCTCTTTAACAAGATTTATTAAGAAGGAAGGGATGGGGTTACAAGATGCCCACCAACTCAGCAGTTTCCTGTCTGTGACCGCTATGTCCCCACATACACTGAGGTGGGATCTTCCTCATTGTCTGTTTTATTGCTTTCCCTTGAACTGGCAAATGGGTGGGTCTCGTCACTAAGCAGAGAGCTTGGGAGGGGGTATTTATTTTACCTTCTCCTAAATCCTTATTACGGACATGGAGAAACTGGGGAAGGCTAGAGGAGAGCTAGCAGGATGGAAAGGGAACTGGAAACTAAGCCTCATAAGAAGCAGCTGAAGGAGCTGGCCGTATTTAGCCTACAAAGCAGTAGCCGGGGGGGGGGGGAGGTATAGCAGCCCCCAAATATCTAAAAGGTGTACTGGTTCTCAGGAGCAGGACAAGGCCAGCGGGTCAAAATGGAAAGGAAGGATACACAGACTGAATATTAGAAGAAATTTCTTGGCAGCGGGACAGGCCAAGTGGTAGCCCATCCTGCCTAAAATAGTGGTGGACTCTTCCTTACTGGAGATTTCCAAGGAGGGGCTGGATGGCCACCTACATGGTCTCTTAAGGCCCCTTCTCCAGACATTCCATTATCTTGCACCTGCAGGAGACGTTACCAAAATATAGTCAGCCAGGGCAGCTGGGGAGAAGCAGCAGCTCTTACAGCCCCACGTCCCTTCAGCATTATCGGGCAGAAATACCCCTGCTGCTGCCCACCTGGCACAGGCTATGCCCATCTTACTTCACCCAGGACACTCGCATTCCCCACAGGAGCTGTCAATTTTCAGTAGGACTATGCTGATCTTCCTGGGTTCACAGACCACTTTGAAGAGGCTGGGGAGTAACTGCAGTTTCAATGGGGCAGTGCATGCCAAGCCTCCTATGCTCTTTGTAAGCTCCCAGGGTGGGGAAGATGGAACTAAGAGGATGAAAATTACAGGCTGCCTCTCACTGTTGTTCCTGGTATCTCCTTCTTGAGAAAGATGTTTACTCCACTTGTGCAAGCAAGAGGAGTCGCGGGCAGTGGGCACTGTATTTGTGCCCTGGAGCTCCTGTGGGTCCAAGTGCCCCCTCCCCTGGGCTGATCTCCTGAAAGAAGGAGGCTTCAGCTGCCTGCACCCCCTCTGTAGGTTGCATTGCTCCAGCAGGGAGGGCAGCTGAAAACACTGCAGACTCTCAAGGGGGTATGTTGTCCTCTGAACAGGAGAATCTACCAGCAGCAGCAGCAGCAGCAGGACCAAAGGGGCCCCACGGAGTCGGCCCAGCCTCTTTGCCCGGATGCCGCGGGAGGCCTCTCCTTCTGCCGGAATCCCCTGCGCTGCGGGACTCTTGCGAAGGAAGCTGCCGGCCAAACAGGCAATGCCTCTGCAGCGCAGCACTCTGCGGCCGCCCCAGGAGCCAGGCCTCCCCCAGCCTTGTGTGGGGGGCTGTCCAGTCCCAGGGGCCCTCCAACAGGGGAGAGTGGCCTGCTGGGAGCCACACCGAGGTTCCTGCTGCAGGCTTCCCCTTCAGAACGCGGCCCAGGAATACCCCCTGGAGCACCCAGGGGACCGGTGGCTGTACCTCTCTTCAGCGCCCCCGCGCCCCCTTCAGCAGCAGTCGAGCTCTGGCGGAGATTTCGCCCTGGCCCGGTGGGGCTTCCTGCCCAGCGGCCTCTTTGTGGTGTCGGCCAAGCTGAGCAGAGAGAGGGATGCCCAGCCACGGCTGCCTTTGTCTTCCAACATCTGCATCCTGACCCTGGCCATGATGATTGCTGGCATTCCCACAATCCCTGTGCCCGGGGTGCGTGAAGAAGACATGATCCATGCTGCCCAGTGCTTCATGGCGGAGAACCTCAACTCTGGCGAGGTCCAAGGGGAGGGAGCCCAGAGGAGGAGCTGGTCGGCCTTGCAGCGCCTTGGGCCTTCCTGCAAGAGGGGCCGGCAGCGCAGGCGGGCGACCCACCAAAGCCTCTTGCCTCTGTTTCTTGCCCAGCTGGAGAAGTAACAGCGGGGGGTGGTGGGGCTGGAGCTCTCCCTCTGGGGCTGAGAAGCCGACATAAAGGATTTGACGAGCACGAGCTTTGTGGCCCCTTCCTACCCAATGCCTGTGAGAGCCCCTTCCCCAGCTGGCTTGGCTGGGGATGGGCCTTCCTGCTACAACAGTTCCCGCCCCGGCTGGCTCTTCTTGGCCCAGCTGCCCCAGTGCAGGGCTGCTTGGGGGC